GAGGTAGGCGGTACTCTCGGCAAACCTCGATAACCCTCGAAACTGTCTGGATGTGATCCACGCAGCTGAAACCCTTGCGAAATCCAGCTTGTTTTACAAGCTGGACTTCATGCAATGTTTTGTTATGCGAGCGAGAATAATCTTCGTAAAAAGCTTGTAAAGCAGGCTAAGCAGGGATATTGGACGGTAGTTCCGAAGATCCTCCCCATCGCTTCTTATGAAGAAGGAGTGTTTGAAAGATTCTTTACTGATCGGGGATCCTTTCCTTTTAAATAGGACATTAGATGTTCCGCTAGTATCTCGCGTAGGCGATGTCCTCCAGCTCGTAAGAGGTCGGCCGAAACATGGTCCAGTCTCGGAGCCGTGGCTGCTTTCATGGTCTGCATTCGTGATTGAATCCATCTTTTCGGGAGGATGTGCGAGTCACGTCTTCGTTTAGTAATCTTGTCAGCGGAACAGATAGTCGAGAAGGTCCCTGCGGTACTTCTTTAGTCTTCTCCTTCCTTGTGCTGCTTCTAAAAGTTTCGATTGCCTGTACTTTCGAAGATCTTCTAGCAACGCTGTTCTGCAACTGGTGGCTACCAGTCGCTCGAGATGTTGCAGTCGGATCCAGCCTCAGTGCTCTTCTCTTCTCTAGCAGATCCTTGGCTTTCGAAATTTGTTCTAAGTAACTTGTTCGAGGCATTGAGACACTTTCACCACCGGCCCTCATTCTTCTGAGAAGCAGGTCGTAGTCAGTTGGGTCCTCGTCGATGGGCCAGAGTGGTCAGGAGCTCCTCCAATCTGACGCCGTCATGTACAACTTCCCTCTTTCCTCCAACATGGTGACAGATCTTCTTTCCCAGCTTTTGGCTGAATCGCACTTTTGTTTGAAGAAGGTGATGATCTGAACCACTGCTGAAGGATGATGGTACCACTGAGACGTCTAGTAAGCACCATCTTCAATTGGTGAGAATGTGGTCGATCTCCGCATGAGTCGTACCGTTGGGTGACTCCCTTGTCCATCGTCGGTGTTCCTTCTTCATGAAGATAGAGTGCTAGGAAAAAGTCGCGCGGCGATTAAGAGCCCAATAAGACAGGTACCATTCTCATTTCGGAGTCCTGGTCCAAATCTCCCGATCCTGTACTCCCCTTCTTTAACTTCTTCCAAATCCTCATAAAAAGCATCAAGTTCTGAATCATTAGCAGCTGATGTAGAATAGCAGTTGATGCTAGTTATGGTTTTCTGATGCAGAGGACGCAGTCGAAGGATATCAGACGAGGTGATAAGATATCATTCGCGACAAGATGGAACAGATGAGTATACGACAAATCCAACGCCTCCAACCTTCCTTGATGAAACTTTCCCACGATAAGTGTAACATCACTGATCTGCCTCACATCCGTCTTCCTTGACTTTGTTCCCTGCAAGGTGAGTATGTATAGTTGATGCACCCTGCAGCTTCGAGAAGGGCGTGAACATCGGCGTTGGTGGAGAGTGTCCTGGCACTGTAGGCGCAGAGCACGAGATAATTGACGTGTCCTTTTGGTCCAAAGGCCGGCGTCCTGTGCAACCTGACACTGGTCCTGATAACATCCGACGTCGTAGATATGATCCAGTTCAGGGCTTCTTTTTCTCTTTCTGGAAACAAATAAAAAATGATCACTCACTTAACATCAGTTTAATGTATGAAATGTTCGTTTTGAAAAGAAAAGAGTTTATGAGAAGTAACAGAAAAGCTTGAAGATAGCAAATACAATTGTTGCAGCTGGTTTGCTCTGCAGCGACATCCGGGATGTTGCGCAGTCGCGGAAAAGAAACAAATTTCGTTTAACTATAGGTGTAGTAAAATGTACTTGATCGCATTAATGAAACTTCTTTCCAGATACTCTTGTATATGGGCTGCAGCAGATCCTTGGACATTTGCTTCTCTATCCTACGATGGACGTGTGGTTGTCTCAAGAGTCAGTAGAAAACATAAATATGCTTTGATGAAATTATAGAGTTATTTGATCTCGTAGATACAGTTTAAGTACTATCGTGTCATTCCATGTACAAATTTATATAATTTATTTTATATTTACAAGTTTATCACATAAAATCATTGTTGTTGATTGTGCAAAAACTTTATAAATGAAGAATATGCTCCTTCGAGTTCGAAGATCATCTGACGAGCTTCTTCATCGGTAATCTCTTCCGACGCGGACATTTTTGAAAGACGATCATGCCTGGAAAGTTTATGAAATTTTAAATAGTACTTTTACTTTTTCAAACGGCCTCCTTGAAACTCACCATGCCTTCACCTTCGCTTTTCCATCAAAATCTTCGGGTAAACTGCTCATCGCATTGATTGAAGTGTACAATTCATTGAGATTTGGGAAAAGCTCATCAACGGCACGAACATTTAACTTCAGTTGATCGAAGAAAGTAATGAATACCTATAAAATTAGGAAGGTAATAAGAAAAAGTGGTTGTACATGCATTTTTCATGAGAAATTGCCCGTCTAATGTGTACAAGGTAAAATCGGAAAGCTCTACTTAAACAGGTATTTACTTATATTTCACCCCACACTTAGTTCGTACACTACGCATGTGCTAAGAACGCAGATACTAATTTGGCCAGGGCTCGGGACTATCTCTTTATGATTTGTAGTCAGTATCTGTTTTAAGGGTCTTCAAGCTTGTCAGAGCCTAGTTTTTTTTCATAGGAAATGCACCTCAATATCTTAGCTAATGGAAAAGGTTGCCACACAAGGTGTCGATTGTTTTGGACGCATACTGTACGTCTGGTGCTACTGACATTCATCGCCGGAAGAAGAAAATCACTTCGGATGTCAGCCCGTCAATTCAGCGATTTCCTCCTCAGCATACCTCTCGAACGCAGAGCTCTCTAGCGAGAAAGGCATGCGATTGTTTCGGGACGGAAAGTCGAATTTGGAATTGCGCTGCAGTCTCCTCCACAGTCCAAAAAGAGTTCACAGTCTCTGTTTTTTTCTCCTTTTTTTTTGATAATTTCACGCTAATCGAAGTTGATTTTCGCTTAGCACACCGAAGTGGCCACGAGGGAAAGCAGATAGCGGGAGATCTGCCCGAGCAATACCTTTCACGTAGGACCTTTTGGAAGTGGGAGTTCCAAAAATCAATATATCATAGTAAAAGTTAGACATGGATGAGAAAGAAGCTGAGCATGACTCTGAATTTACCTCAACAATGACAGCAATATTCTTAAGTACATTTCCTTTGTCATCTTTCACAGTTATTGGGCGTCCTTCATGTATTCGTTCAAGAGCTGCCGGACAATGTAAGCGATATTTCGCAGCGAAAGCTTCGACATCGGTCCCATGCACCAATCGCATAGCTACCTAAATTTCTTAATCACTCAAAAGAAGGGAGGACGACTTATGAACAAACCTTGTACTGATCGAGTAGTTTGAAGCATTCAACTTTGTACTCCTCATGTGAAATGTAATCCCTGCTGAACATTTTCTCCAAACATTCCAATGCATTCAATACAGCGAACAGTTCACTCATATTCTCCATCTGTTCCCGTTCGCTGTGATTCTCGTGTAAACGCACTTCATGAAGTAATGCGGGATTGTTAGAGTTCATTTTGCCTATAATAATGCAGTTGTTGAAGTTATAGGACTACCTCTTAGCGAGTTGTTTCATAATGAACCACAGCTTAACCGGACCTCAGAAGCGGTACGACTGGGTACAGATTCGACGGCAACTTGGAATAGTGCAAGAATGAGTGTGGAAATACATTCTAAGGAGTCTATGTGATTTCTTGATTAAGGCTGAAGTTAGTCCACCCGAACAACAATTTTATGGGATCATTCGAAAGTAGGCAATAAATGGAAAGCAAATGGAATCTGCGGCCTTCGCCGAAACAGGAAAAGAAGTGAGAAAATGAGACACGCTCCTTTTTTTCAGAGATCTTTCTGTGTTTTAAGTTTGTATATAAAATCAAAAAGCCGCGTACCACTGTTGAATCGCATTAAACAAAGTGATCGAGTGAGAAGCAGATGAAAGAAGTAGTAGTGGGTACATTGTAAGAAAAATTAAGGCACTACCAGTGTACCTAAAGAAACCACTACTCGCTACAGTTTTATATCAGGGTTTTCTTCTTAAAGTTGTGACGTAAGGAAAGCTGCGAAACACGATGATTCAGATGGCTTGCGAAGAATGACTTTGGCATCGTGTCATTGTTTCCATACATATCGACCCAGCAATTAATGCACACCGTCTATGACGCGCGCGATGTCGCGCGTTGCCGCATCAGTTCTGCGATTTTTTGCGTAAAGTTAATTCTTTTCTTTTGAACATTTCGTTGGTATTTCTCTTTCCTTATCCATTTTATAATAATGTAAATAACTGTAGCTTTATAGTAAGGATGGCTAAGACCCTTACAAGTCGCGCAAAATTTTCAGTACCATTTTCA